GAGACAGAGGCGGAGCCAGCGTCAACAGACGTCTGACGTTGCCGTGTCTTGAACTTACGTGCAAGTTATTGAGCCACCGTTGAGGAGGACAGTACAAGTACTCTCCACTCTCCGCCCTTACTGGTCTGTACGCGCCACTACAACACACACACACACACACACACACACGTGTATCAATATCCCCAATAGCCCCTTACATGAGAAAATGAAATCTGTTGATAACTCTATTGATGTATTACAAAGCACAGAGATCAAAAGTATAGAAGGACAGTAAAGACACTGTTATGAGTTTTGGTGACTGAAGGTGTGTGCATGTGTCTCCTAACTTGTCTGTCTGTCCAAACAGCCTTACCTGTTGGGAATGGTATGATTGTAGGAAATAGATTTATCCATGCAGATCTGCCTGGCTGGCTGCGGTGAAAAGAAATCAGATAAAATCAGATTTTAATTGTCCTATTTTGGGGTTAAGTACTGTACAAAACACCCAGTCCTCAATCACCCAAGACAAAAACTGAGTAAGCGGCTGTTCACTTTTGTTGTTGATAACAATTACATCGCAAGAAGAGAGTTCAGTTAACTGAAGACTGACTGACTGCACCGAAAACATTTCAATGTATCAGCACTTGTGTGTCACTGTGTGTTATCCCATTGTGCTTTGATGTGAAAGTCATGTTGCGTTGTCGATCGAGGGTGAAAGGTTAGGGAAAACTCTCCAATAAAGTGCTCGGAAAAGAGTTTACTCACCTCAGGATCATACACTGTGTCAACACTGGGACGTCTCTGCAGATAAGCGAGACAGTGGACATTGGTTAAAGCACAGATGGAGCAACCTGAGCAAGCACAGCAGCTTTAGGAGCTCACCCTACCGGCAGGGCCACATGTACAGGGCACCATTTACCACAACAATTACTTTCCTAGGATTGTTTAAACTTCCTGGCACCCAGTGTATTACAGCACACCCCACCCATGTGACACAGTGAGGCGTTGGAGATCAGTGTGTAACAAGGAGGATGGTGATATGGGCTAGAATCCATAGTTACCTGAGTAGACTCCGGCCATGTAGACGCTGGACAGTCCCAAAAAACAGCATCCTCAGGCAGGTCCCTATACAAATAAAGCTACCACACACACACACATACACGGACAGTGAGTTCACTTATATCCTTTAACACTGTGTTACACACACAGAAACAGATTTAACAGGTGTTATACTGCAGTTACCTTCCCATTGTCACATCCTGGCCCCGGAGACTCGGAGACATCGCACCGACCCAAAGTGACCCACAGCGCGGCCAGCACGGTCACCGTCAGCGGCGGGGACGTAGTTTGGCTCGGCATGGTGACAACCAGTCAGTCATTTAAGTGTGAGCGGGCCCCACATTTAGCTAGTGGGCACAGCTTGCCTCTTAACTTCACCGCGACTGACAAAGAACTGACCTTTCATAATCCCCAAACAGAGATTTCTTGTGGCAGAGAGCCATAACAGCGGAGCGCGGAGACGTGTGAATGTCGGTGGAGGAGGTAACAACCGTCCCACAGCGCCGTCGTCAGTCCTCCTCTCTAAGCTACAGTTAACGAGTTGTGCTGCATTATAGAGTTAAAACTAATGAGCGAGGTTCGGTTGTCTCACAAAGAAAAAGGCAACAGTGTTATGTACTTCCATAAGTAACTACTTCACCAGTGTTTGATACGCTGCTGCCAAAGTGTCCGCATTACTGAGAGAATGCGTTTTCCTTATAACGTTACATTTCAAAATATAACCTTTGTTTCATCTTATCTTATCTTCACAGCTATGCTAATATTTATGTTTCTTTTCTAATATCGAATGAGTCTGTTAAGTGTTTTTATATGTTATGATGTAGTTATGCACGACCCAGTTGTTTCTCTTTCATTTAAACTGCAATGGTTTTACTTGTATTTTATTTTGAATAAAATCACATTTCCGGAAGTACCCTGACTCTCTCGTGTTTCTGGCTAACCTTACTCAGCTGTTCAACTACGGAAGCTAGAAAGGAACAGAAAGCCGAAGTTTGACTAGTAAGATACTACTGTGTGGTTCTAACTCTGAATATCCTCTGGGAGGCGACACAGCAGCTTTATGTGATTTAAATCAGTATGAATTTTATCTCTTCTAATATAATACCACAGACTCCTCTCTGCCACCCAGTCTTTATCAGTATTAACCTGAGCTGCTCCGAATGAGGGCAAACAGTGCATATTCCTTTGAAGTTGTGCGGTATGTACTTTGCGTGCAGGCCTATCAGTTTTTGGTATGAAACTGTTTGCATATAGTAAAACTGAACCCGCAATACCTTCCTGAATTTGAAGTGGAGATAGGCTCCTATGTCCTGTCACCGCAGGCAGTAATACAGGCATTACCTGATGGCACAGGTAAACCAGCCATTTTGGCCGGGTGCCGCCCACCATGCAGCCGTAACAATGCTGTTCTGCTTTCAAAATAAAACCGACTGTATAAAGTCTGAAATAAAGCGTACAGACTGGCATTCCAGTTGTTGTGTCACGAAGAGTAAAACACATGAATGACAACAGTGGAGTTGGCACGTTGAAAATATAGGTGTACATTCCCCAGTAATGTAAGATATTTTCTTTCAAAGTGGGTTTAATTTTGAAAATTGTGAAGGAAGTCTCTTTCCTCACACTCCTCCTGTTTCCTTTCTAATAAAACTCTGTCCCTGGCATTAAAGTGCACAGGTGGTTCTGCCAGAGGAGTCGTGGGTGCTGGACAGAGGAGAAGTCTGGACCTAAATGGAGTCCACACTCCACAAAGGTTTGCTGTCTTTTTGACTGTGATTTGTTTAGCAGTCTACTTTACACTGTTTAATCAACAGAAAACAATAATTTCAGGAAGAAAGCAAGTGATTCATTTATTACTATTTTATTAAGGCGTTTCTATGATTATTATAGCCAACTTACACAAAACATATACTTGGTCTTTCCTTATATTGTGAAGAGTGTGGCACTTTTCTGAATTGTTATAACAGGCAATTTTCTGCATTTATGGCAAAGGGCACCAGTGTGCAAGCATCATTTTATTGATCTTAGCATTTAATGTTAGATTTTTACTCTGTTTTAACCTGACTGTCCATTTAAGGAAGTGGGACAATAAGGAAGTGCAGCCACACAATTCCCTCATTTGTTATGGTACAACCAGCGTGGTAAAATAGACTGCTACAAAAGCTGATCCTCCATATATATATGTAATTGTAATATATATATATATATTTATATATTATATATATATAAATATATGGTATATATATATATATATATATATATATATATATTACAATCTGAACAACTGCTGTTTGTCTGCCAACAAAACTCTAATCCTTCCACTCTGTACTGTGTAGCTCCAGGTGGAGCAAGTGCTGCAGGTGCCCAGCAGCCTGCGGCGGCCCCTCCTGGTGGTTTTCAGCCAATTGCAGAGGTAGCAGAGCCTGTAGACCTGGGCAAGGTGGAGGGAGACAAGAGTCAACCGGGACACCCTGTGAGAGATGGACAGGTGAGCAGGAGAGATATTTGAAAAAGACAATATGAACCATCATTTGAATAAAATGTGCACAGACCCATGTTACTTGCTTACTCCAAATATTGAATAAACTTTATGTCTCTGTTATTCATTAGTTATAATTTCATGACAGGCGCAAAAAGTCTTGCTGTAATGGTAATCAGATGTGTAGTTATTCCCAGCAGACTGGGTTCTAGAGATTGTGAAAGAAACTGTGGATAATCTCTGCGTTCTCTTTTTGGTCTTTCACCAGGACCTGTACTCATTTGACAGCTCGCTGTCCTCCTCAGACAGCGAGGATGAGGGTATCGGCAAGAAAGACAAGAAGAAGAAGAAGAAGAAGCTGAAGAAGAAGAAAAAGAAGAAAGTATGTGTCTCAAAAAGTGTATCTTCACCACTAACCAAGCAATGAAGTCATTTCTTGAAAACTCTCCATGGTGATGAAGACTTGACAGTATTGTACTCACAGTCTGCTCATGAATAAGAAGCCAAAATCACGTCACTACACAGCAGTCAGTTGATCTCTCGGGGGTGTTACGTTAATTTGGAAAACACATGACACACACACACACGTGAGACTACGTTGCAGAAATCATGGGTTCTGACTTCTGACAGAGGAGGGAAGTACAGTGAGGGCTGCGCCTAGCAACAGCCAGTCAGAGCACTAGGTGTTCATTTGTTTATAATGCAGAACAACTGTCACTTTTGCTCACGGCATTGCTGAAATGGGCGTGTGTTTGGTAAAATGATCGCTTGTTTCTGGTGCAGTTTTTTTGTGCGTGTTGCTAAGTGCTTGAGGAGCCCCTCCCTTCTGCTGCCAGCGACACGGCGCTCTCTAAGCAGCTACAACAAAGCCTCGCTCCAGTGTGTTCGCTGTGACTCACTCGTTTAGATTCTCATTTATCACTTTCACCAACAAAGGAGGGTATAAATAAACCTGTTCAATGTGTGCACAACGTTGAGCCATAACTTCCCTGCTTCTTTCTAAACAGGATTCTAGCTCATCCTCATCCTCCTCCTCATCGTCTTCTTCCTCATCGTCTTCCTCCAGCTCCTCAGACAGTGACAGTGAGGTAAGGTGTAGTTATAGCATAGGTGCTGATGAAGGGTCCCAAAGTTCTATACAGTGTGTATAGAAAAATATTGCTTCCATGCACCTCCTGTCTTGCTCTGACATGTCACACACTGGTTGCTGTAATCACACACACAATAGCACAGAACCTTACCTCAGACTTACTCACCACATGGAAGACATATTGTTTGCCTCAATCATTTTGCTAGGACTTGATGCACAGCTCTCTGTATTCTCTCCCTTTGAACAAGTAGAGCTACACAGTAGAGCTGAGGGTTTTACAGTGCACAGTTTTGTTTATGTAAATCCTTGAGAAGTCTTTTCTGCAGCATTGCTAAATTAAGTCCTTGGCCACAAACGATTTCACGTTCTGACTCTGTCACCGCCTCAAGTGGGGATATTGTCAAAGCTGACAATACAGAGAATATTTAGGTTGGAATGGCTGTCAGAAATCTATGAACTGAGCTTTTATTATGTCTTTTGGCAAGTTGGGGGATAAACACATCAACCCTCCCCAGGCGTGCTTTGGCAACAGTACAGAAATACTTCAAGTATTTCACCTGTTTGTTTAGTAACGGTTAGCTTCAAGTGACTGCAATCACATGATAGCATGATGTCTTGCTCATTTTCTGAAGGCGTAAGTGGAAAATCAGGAAACTCAGGAAAAGGGAGCGACTCAGACCCACATTGCAATACTTTTACGACAAAAAACAGAACCAAAGTCAGGTCAAATAAACGGTGAAGTTGAATTTTTACACCCCACACTGTTGGTTCTTCATCACAAGAGCAATGAACAATGACAAAATAAATTGTGTACATAAAACTGGAATGCATTTCACTGTGAGCTCTAGGCGGAGGCGCCAATGTCCTGGATCTGATAGCAGGCAGGTATCTGACGAGAGAGGACACACCCAGTGACAATGTGTGAAACGCCTTCTGTATCTACCACAGCAAGGCACGAGAAAAAAGCCATATTGACCTGTATGGCTTTATTTGAAATGGCAACACCCCAGACATCATAAATGTGTGTGTGTGTGCGGGTTTACATGCATGGTTACTCAGAAGCAGTATGCTTATGCGTCTAGTGTGTAATAATGTAATTTCTTATGTGTTGGTTTTGGCTGCATGTCCACATTAGGTGTGTGGATGATGGTAAGGCAGATAATTCTTGACTAATAGGTGACACCCAACCCTTATCCTGATGACTTTATCTTGATTTATACTTTATTAAGTAAATGTAACACTCACTTTGCAAACAAGCTTCATGCACAAGGGGTTGTGGCTCAGAAGGTTGGCAGGTCAATCCCCTGCTCTGCATGTGGAAGTGTCTTTGGGCAAGAAACCAGACCCCAAATTGCTCCTGATGCTGTGCCGTGTGTGTGAATGGGATTAGTTAGTTTCTCATGGCCAGTTGGCACCTTGCATGCCAGCCTCTGCCATTAGTGTATGAATGTATGTGAATGTGACAGGCAGTGTAAAGCGCTTTGAGTGGTGAGAAGACTAGAAAGGTACCATGTACCATGGTGCAGTCCATTTACCATACAGTAGAATCTGAACAACAACACAGAGTTATGAAAGAATCAACATTGCGTTGCAGGATGACAAGAAGAAGAAGAAGAAAAAGGAGAAGAAGAAAAAGGATGAGAAGAAAGAGTATGTTTGGGACAATGTGATCATATCTCAAGTTGGTAAGTGAAACACAGCGTTTCTTCTCTGCATTGCAAGGATAGTGTATTTCTAGGCTCTGTGCATTCTCCTGTTCTCCGTTACAAGAGCATATATTAAATACCATATTCCCACCACATGTGATAGCATTTGAACACTTATATTCCAAAATGTAATCTAAAATACATTACAATATTCATGTTTGCATGATTGTCCATGAATTCCCTTTTTATCTGCAGCGTGATGATATGTGATCTGATTGAATTATGTATGAAGTATGTAATGTTTCCAGGTCCTGATGGCCAAATGGAAGTGCAGACTGTAGAAGGTCTGAAGATGAGCCCGGTGAGAGAGAAATTAAACCATATTTCATTTTAAACATGCTGTTGCTGTTAAACTTGTCATTATAGCCTTTTTTTATCCCCTTTTTACTTACTTCAGGATCTCAACTCATCCGATGACGAAGATGTCAAACATAAAGAGAAAAAGAAGAAGAAGAAAAAGGACAAGAAGAAAAAGAAGAAGAAGGACAAGAAGAAGAAGAAGAAGAAGAAGAAGGTGTGTAAAAAATACAGCAGAACATGTAATAACTGTAATAATAAGTGTTTATTGGACTAGCACACATCACTAAATTATACATGTAATGAAAAGAATGAAACTTGATAGGTGAATCACACCTTCACGTTATTAAATATCTACTGTGCTTCCTCTGTCCGAAGGATTCATCCTCTTCCTCATCTGACAGTTCATCCTCTGACAGTGAGGATGAAAAGAAGAAGAAGAAGAAGAAAAAGAAAAAGAAGAAGAAGGTATGATTTAATATTATAATAAACTCTAATATTATATTATATATGTTATAACATTTGATACAATACAGTTACTAATTACAGTTATTGTAAATATCTTGGGTCTGTCTGATCCGTCTGTTCTACATCTGTGTAAATACTAATGAGTTTGTTCTTCTTTCACAGGACTCCAGCTCCTCTTCCTCAGATAGCTCCTCCTCTTCATCATCCTCTTCTGACAGCGAGGATGACAAGAAGAAAAAGAAAAAGAAGAAAAGGGACAAGAAGAAGAAGAAAAAGAAGGACAAGAAAAAGGTAAGGCAGTGCAGAAGTTTTTTTTTCTTTGTCATTTGTCCACAGGAGCTTCTTAATATATAAAGTGCTGATATTGTTTACTGTGTGAATTAAGATTGGAAGGATTCAACAGAACGAATACAGAAATACATTTACAATTACAATGAATAATATATGTTTTTGTACCAATGACATTATCTGTAATACGTGACTCTTGTTGCTGAATAAATAATGATATCTTCCACATTGTTGCAAGGATGAACACATTCTTTAACTGTGAAGATTAAAAGATTTCTTCTCATTGACACAGGATTCCAGCTCTTCATCTTCCTCCTCATCCTCTTCTTCTGACAGTGATAAAGATAAGAAGAAAAAGAAGAAAGACAAGAAAAAGAAGAAGAAGAAGGACAAGAAAAAGGTAAAAAAAAAAAAAAAGGTTGAAACAACCTAAAGCCTCTAAATCATTCACTAGGTTTTCAGGTTGGGTTTGAAGCTGCTCGTCATGAGGCATTTCACTTATTGTATGAATGTTGAGTCAGGTGACAATTTTTCTTTTTTGGTTTTCTGTGTACAGGAGGCTTAGTTTTAATCACATTATGCATCAAATATGAATGGTATCTGTGTTAAACTCCATTTCTTAATGCACTGTAGAGCAGCATGTGTTCACAAACCAGTTATTGTTGTAAATGTTCTGTTTTTACTATGATTTTGTTGTCTTTTTACTCACTATTGATGTGACAGCTGCATTCTAATTTGTACAGCACTTCGGTCAAATTCAGTTGTTTTACACGTACTATATAAATAAACTGGATTTGACTAGACTTGACTACCATACTGGCTTAGCATTTGCGTTATTTAAATTGTTTTCCACTGCAGAGACATAGATGGGTTTGTAGCCTCGGATCAGTTTATGATCTGTACACATCTCTACATACACTATGTAGATTTGGAGAGGAAATACAAGGTGCTGTACATATACAGTAAGCCTGAGCTTGATCCCATTTGTGCTTTTTCACAGGATGAAGAGCAGAATGAACTCAGCTGTGCTACTGCTCTTTCAGCAGCTGGTGAGTGTTTCTACTTTATGGTGACCTAAGAAGACAGAATAACCAGAATAACAAATGGAAATCAAAACAACAAATGTCATTGCAACCAACCTGTCTCTGCAGGTGGTGAGATCGCAGGAACAAGTGCTGACGGAGATAAAAAGAAAGCTGAAGATGCTGAAAAGGTGCAATACTCACACTTACTGATGCCACACATATATACACACATGCAGAGAAGATAATTGCTTTTTTGTCATGACAGGCCAAGAAAGAGCTTAAAGCAACAGAAGAGGGTAAACTGTCCTCTCCGTTGGCTGGTATGTGTGCTACTCTGGCTCTTCTACAGATCAAGCATTGGTTGGAAAAAGGTCTTGTTGTTTTGGTTGTAATGGTGTTTCCTGTCCAGCAGGGGAAGCACAGGCATTCCCTGATGGCATCGAGGAAGGCCACCTGAGTGATGATGAGGGAGAAGGAAGGGAGGAGAAGGGGAAGGAGAAGAAGAAGAAGTTGAAGAAGAAGAAGAAGAAGGAGGAGGTAATCGTCTCTACTCCCTCCTATGTGGCTTTTTTAAACAGGCATTACAGTTGATGTAGTGCATTATCACCACTGTGTACTTATGCAACATTTACTGCACAATATAGTTATGTTACAGGATAAAGATAAAACTTTATTTGTTTTTGAAACAGGATTCTGGCTCATCTTCAGACAGCGATGATGACAAAAAAGACAAGAAGAAGAAAAAGAAGAAGAAGAAGGAAAAGGTATACAGAGAGCTGTGGAAACGTGTGTTTGCATTTCCTTATTTGTATTGTATCATACAAATATAAAGTATTGTATATTTATTTAGTATATATAACAGACTCATAGGAGTGAATGTATGTGTGTCTGTCGGATATCAATGTGAATATTTTGTATTTGATTTTATCCATAGGACTCCTCCAGCTCCTCCTCTTCTTCATCTGATAGCTCCTCCTCAGACAGCGAAGATGACAAGAAGAAGAAGAAAAAGAAGAAGAAGAAGAAGAAGAAGGGGAAGAAGAAGAAGGATAAGGTTTGTGTCTCATTACATGTGCTTGTACTTGTGCTATTTAATGTTATTATCTCATCCTCTGCTCTTTTTTTTGCAGGATTCCAGTTCTTCCTCCTCTGATAGTGAAGATGACAAGAAGAAGAAGAAAAAAAAGAAGAAGAAGGTAAATGACTCTTACCTTCTACTCTTAAAATGGATGGATGAATGTCGCCTTTCTGATGCTCATGAACTGCTGAGTCCAATGAAAGTAGTATTTGCTGATTATTTTGTTTAATGAACAAAGAAAAACTGTGACTGACTGACTTATATCCTTTCTAGAAGTCTGATGATAGCTCCTCTTCTTCCTCATCCTCATCCTCCTCTTCCTCTGATAGTGATGATGACAAGGTGAGATGAAACACATGCAAATATAGTTTTCTCTATTTAGTAAATGACTCATCTGCAGCCAGGCTAACAGAGATAAACAGCTGCACAATTCACCATGAGTACATGCTTTGTTTCTTTAGAAAAAGAAGAAAAAGAAAGACAAGAAAAAGAAGAAGAAGAAGGATAAGAAGAAGAAGAAAAAGAAGGTGAGAACTTTTGTTTTATTTTTCAGATTTTTGGTGGATTATGTTACAAAGCTGTGAACAACTTTTGAGGATATTGCACCCCTGAAAAAGTTGACAAAAAGTTTTGAAAAGTTAGAGTAAGTAGTAGTTAGTAAAACATCTTAAAAATCACTAAAAGCTCTTTATTATGCGACATTTCCTGTAAAAACATATCATTGATGATTGGTCAGTAGCAGAAAGAACAACAAACAACTGAACCACCATGTCGGCATATTGGCCGATACCGAGTAACAATCTGATACCTGTGCATTTAAAAAAGCAAACAAATCTTATTATTATTATTATGTAATAAGCTTATAAGCTGGTATGATTTCTATCATCGTTGAATGGCCTGGCTCAGGGAAAACCGTTCATCAGAGTCAGAGTAGGGCAGGTCATGACTTCACTATTCTGGGGGTAAAAAATACAAATGGGACACTGCTGGGAAGTAGCAGGGACTTTTTCCTTACTCATAATAGAAGGAGACATCACAACTGTGTTTTTACTACTGTATGAATGAAGTGTGATGTAAATTCACCTCATGCCAGCATGCATGAGGTGATGTAATGACTAATCCAAGACTTTTTTTTTTTCTTGTTCCAACTCAGAACAGAAGGAGACATCCCCACTGTGTATTTACTCCTGTATAAATGACATGTTTATTTCTTTTTCTGTCCAGGATTCTTCTTCTTCTTCTGACCCCTCCTGTGATTCTTCTAGTGATGATGATAAGAAGAAGAAGAAGAATAAGAAGAAGGATAAGAAGAAGAAAAAAAAGAAAGACAAGAAGAAGGTAAAGCAAAGTGGCTGTGTTGTATTTTGTGTCATATATATTTGTGTGTGCTATTTCCTGTGTATTAAGATGTCTCTTCAGAAAAAAAACAACAATACAGTAACACAGTTACCATATTTACATTCATCAAGGACTCAGATTCTTCTAGCAGTGATGATGACAAGAAGAAGAAGAAGAAAAACAAGAAGAAGAAAAAGAAGAAGGATAAAAAGAAGGTAATTTAGGATGTGAAAAACCATTTATCCTTATGTTTATTAAAAAAAAGATAGATAACTGGAGTGTTGCATGCTTTGCTTTTGAGCAGGACTCAAGCTCTAGTTCATCGAGTTCATCTGATAGTTCCAGTGACAGTGACAAGGAAAATAAAAAGGACAAGAAGGACAAGAAAAAGAAAAAGGTAAATTACTCATACAATAAAAAAATACATTAATAAAAATATATTCACATTGTGTCCACTGTGAAGTTGAAATGACTGAATCTTATTGGTGCTCTGTTTGGCCTTCAGGGTTCGTGCTCATCAGGAAGTGAAACTGAGAAGAAGAAAAAGATTGTACGTTTGTTTTAAATATAAATGATTTGAAAAATATTATTTTGTCCACATATGACTGCCATGACAGGCTGTTCACCTTCTGTACGCTCTTTCATTTATCCTTTATGTGGGGTGGTGTTGTTGTTGATTCCGTTTCCAGCAAAGCCCTGACGGTGAACAAGGCAGTGAGCCAAAAATGGAGATCTCAGGCTCAGGTGGTGGCAAACTTTCAGCTCCCAGTGGAAGCAGCTCTAAGTCAGGTGGCGCTCCTGTTGTCTCCCTCGCGCCGCTCCCCTCCAAACCAGTCGTGAATCTGGATCCCCTGAGTCCTTCAGCTGTCTCCAAGCCCTCTGTCTCCAGCTCCACACTGAGTTTTGGAGATAGGCCCCACATTCGCAGACCTCCCAGCCCCATGGAGTCCCTGATGGGGAGCCCAAGGAGGTATGGAGAGGGAGGAACCCGTTCCACTTCCCACCTCTCCTCTAGTGATCTACTGAGAGGCCCAAGACCCTACCAATGATGAGATGTCATAGATCAAAGTAGATGTTAGTGATTTTTTATTTTTTTTAAAGTGTGGCTTACTCAACACTGGAGGAAGTTGAATGTGATGATGAGATATGCTCTAATGATGCTGCCAGTGCCCTAATTATATGCACAAAAGATTGATGAGTCATCATGCTGAATAAAAGCAGATGTTTTTGGTGTGTTTTCTGGTGGAATACAGAGGTTATTGGGTAAAGATGCATTGTGGCGTGATGAAACTTTTCAAGTTGAGGAAGATAATTATTCCCTGAAAAATAATGGATTATAATTGTTAGGATGGAAGAAATATCACATTTTGGCAGAAATGTCAATTGATTATCACATGAAATTATTCCAAATGCTTGCTTTGCAGAATAAAACAATATGATTTTTTGTCTTGTTTCCTTTTGTTGTTATTATTATTAGTCATGTTCTGACCATTTCATGTACAATTCTATTGATGATAGCAGGCTTATTATCACTTATCATACTATATAAACATAGGCTATACAAATAACATATACAAATACATTAAAGCAGAGGGTTGATGCTTGTGTATATAAGACCTCCCTGGACTGTTGAAGACGGATAACAAGTTCAACATTAGCACAATCCTGATACCTCACTAGGGTAAATATAAATATTACCTAAGAACAACTAATGGCAATGACTAACGGCTCCCAGGCTGTCCTTCATGTACTCTTACATCGCAGGCTCTTCGAGTGGAGATCAGGAACCCCTGAATGGTGAACGTTCCCTGAGGGTTTTTTGTTCAAAAGTTTTCTTAATGTTCAGGCAACGTTTGTGAAAAATTATTTGCTGGGAACCCCGTTTTTTTCATTTTTCCAGTACCCACTATGTGCCCTGTTTATTAAATATGTACTCAGTGAGTTTTGTTGTAGAGTATTTGTATGTGTCTCGTAAACACAATTGTTACCGCCTAACCAGTAAGCAATTGATATCCTGCATACTAAATTACACTTTGTAGGCTGTAAACGATAAAAGTAATATATAGAGATGTAATCTATTAAGAAATAAATGTATCACAGTATCACCCATAACATTTTTATCTTTTTTTATCAACAAGTCTTCCTACTCAGACTTCCCTGTGCAGGTTTGTAATCGGTTTAATAACCCTTAACTGCACTTCCTGATAAATGAACTGGCATGACAGAGAGGTGAATGTTTCACCCAGGGGGAGTGTTGGTTGGGGGAGTGGTTAGGTCAGGTCATGTGATTTAGGTGCGGTCTCTCCAAGGTTTCCTCTCCTGCCTGTGAGCTTCTGGTCACTTGTTTGGGGAACCACACAAACAGGAGTCACGATGTCCTTCGATCTGTCAGCAGGTAGGCTCCAATTATATTGACTGTATATAGAAGGATAACCTTGAATGTTAATGCTTGGTGTATCAGCAACGTTTGTCAGGTCTTTGGTAACTAGAAATAAAGAGCAGCATGGACTTTAGGGCAGGTTTTGCACCTTGCACTGTGCTTTCATATCAAATATATGCCATAGATACAAACCCAGAGTGTGTAAACAAAGACAGCAAGGTCTATTTTATGTATTGTATGAAGAGGTTGTGTTTGTCTCTCAGATTCTTGGTGACAATAATTCTGATTTGTTATAATAACATTTATTCTTTTGCAATTGTGTAGCTGTAGGTGGGGAAGAAGAGGTGGTGAAGAAGGAGGAGGCTCAAAAGGATGAGCTTAACTGGCCCTGGAAAAAGAACAAGGTAGTAACTTTGTTTGATTGATTTGCTTGATGATTACAAGAGCTTGTCTAGGTAGTGAAAAGTAGAATTTGGCAACAAGTGTTATTATGTGTGTGAATCTACTGTTCTTTTCCTGTAAATTCATTCAAACTCAACTTTTGCCATTTTTTAGGAAGATTCCAAGGACAAGTCTGGCGGTAAAGACAAGTCTCACGATAAGGACAAGTCTCACGACAAGGACAAGTCTCACGACAAGGACAAGTCTCACAACAAGGACAAGTCTCACGACAAGGACAAGTCTCACGACAGTAAGCACAAGTCTAAGGACAAACACGGCAAAGAGCACAAGAAGAAGAAGGAGAAGAAGAAGAAGGAACACAAGGATGGAAAGAAATCAGGCTCCTCATCCTCCAGCAGTGACGAGGTGGAGATCTTTTCCTAATTTCATTTTTCATATAAAATAACTTTACTCTAGTGAAGTAAGACTTCCCCTCAGGGCTTAGTGTGTGAAAGCTAACACTTCTGTAGTTTGTAGTTCTCAAGGAGTTTTAATAGCAACACACAATAAAAGGCAGCTCAACAGGCAACATACCTGAAACACCTCATTTCAAAGGTCAGTTTGTGTGGAACATCCACAACAGGTAAGACCAGCAGCGCCACTTATAATTAGATCAGACTCACCACACCCTCCTGTGTGTATGTGCTGTTTTCATTCAGAGTTCACACTGTCGTCAAGCGACTATCTTCCAGATCTGCAGATTCATTTTATCGCTTGTTAAACTGCAGCCAGTCTCAAGCAACTTCTACTGTCTTATCTCATTTAGGGTTAAATATCTTCCACTTTGTTGCAGGTTTATTGAGAAGAAACAGGTCACATTTATATGAGTAACAGGTTGTCCGTGCAAATGATTAAAGCAAAAGAGGAAAGAACCAAGCCCAGGGTGGGAGACGAGCGAAACAGGTCAGATAGGAGAGTCATAAAAGAGCTGTTGTTGTCTAATCGCCTCCATAGAAGTGAACACGCTGTTCTCAGACCTGTCATGGTCTGACTAGATTCTATAACATTCCTGCTCCAAATATGAATGTCATTTTGGTGCTTGTTACGGCTCATGCTGCCGCCACAATGATTCATACATTAAAGATAAGAAGGAGCTGTGGCACTCAAGATGTTCTTTAATAAATTATGTATCCTTTCTGCAGTAACAGCATTGTCCTTTTTGTCATTTCAGGAGTGATGCTTCCTGTGGGACCAGACTGCGCTGTTAGTCTCTTAT